ATTTCCACTCAATGCGAGGACTATTCAAATTTACTTTGCTCACGTGCTTAACGGATCAACCTGGAATGATCAATGAATATATTCCAATGTCTCTCATTCACACGTATCGAGTGAGTGCTCACAATCGTGTTAATTAGTCTCTTCTGTCGCCCTAGAGTCACGACACCGATTTATGCCGTAGGTACTTGTATTTGTTTAATTAGTAAGTCAGACGGTAGACGATGCAATTGCTGGTCGATTGTACTCGTGACCCAGAGGTGACACCTAGGATGCTAGTTTCAGGTGGGTGACAGGGACAGGTGTGCGATAGCGGTTGCTCAATTAACCTTGGGAATAATTTCTTCATTCCAGGGGGGGAGATGTTTACGCAATCTCGAGGTTTTTTTTTTGTCAGAAAGCTTCAGTTTTCCTCGTTTATTGTAGAGACAAAGTTGAGGTGGAATTTTCGTGTTTATTCAACTGAGAACTGTGATGAAATCGTGAAAATAATGTAAATGCCGATCACTTTTCAGCAATTGGTCTATTCTATTTTCGATTGACAATTGATGTGTGAATTTTTTTTAAATGTTTTTGAGGCGAAGAACATTTATTTCAGAAGATTGACGAAAACTTTTTGTTTAAGCCGAATATCTCGGAATCCATAGACAAAAATTTGTATGTGGATTTTTTTTGTGTGAAAAAAAATGAGGGATTAAAAAAATTATGAACAGTTCCTAGCGAGCATAAAATCCTAAAAATGAATCGAATTTTCACTTATTTTGAGAACATTTTCCATAAAAATTCTCAATTTTTTTGAAATGATTGTCTTTACACTGAGAGAAAAAATTAGCTCTGGCAAAAAACTATATAATTCACGTGAGAATATTTGATGGAATGGAACCGATTTACTTGAGGGAAATTAACCCACTTGATGGAAAAAAATTTACGATTTTTCACAAAAATTAAATTTTTGTCGTGATCATGAGAAATATCCCTAGACGAAATCGAACTGTTGGCATTGAAAATTCTAGCTTCCTCTTGAAATTGTCATTTGTTCGATGGAAATTATAAGTGTTTATTGGACGAAGATATACTATTCACTTGATAAAAACGGAGTCTCATATAATTTTATGTAGAACGGATGTATTTACCCGAAAGACATATAAATGTCGGACGAGAACAATTACTGCTACGAAAATTATCATGTTTTGGTGGAAACTTTCTTTTTCGTCTATAAGTAAATTGATTCGACACGACAAAGGATCTTTTCAAGAGAACGTATATTTTTCCTGAAGAAAATCAAATTTTAGGTCAATTCTCTTCGTTGGGAGCTTTCGTAATAAACCTCATAATGAAGAAAAGTGGAAGGAGTTTTCTCCAACGACTGAAAATACTAATAAAAGATTTGAACAGTGAAGCACTGTAAAAAACGTTGATGATCGGCTTACGCAAAGTTGTGACACGTGTAAATACAGCCTGAGTCTCCGCTGTTCCTAATCCGTGACACCCTAATACCAAAAAGTATTCTCCTCGCTCTGATACCCCCCCAGTGAAGAGTTGTACAGATACCCCAACACGCGTATTACGTTTATCATGGAATAACTGACGCGAGGAGTGGTAAAAATAAAAGAATACCAAACAGAAATAGTTTTATTTGGACGATTCATTAATGCGACCAGCTCCATTGAGTCGTATTTTTCGGGTGTAAAAAGTTGTGAGACGAAGGGGGAGAAAAAGGGGTGACGACACTTGTGGCACGCAGACGAGGATGATAAATCGTTGGGACTATTGGGGGAGTGAGAAATTCCCGTAGAGTTATAATAGACGGGTGAATGCTTGAGACAAACACTCACGCTTCCCGATCTTAACGACCTTGACGGCGAGAGTCGCACTTTTCCTTCAGCCAATACATGCGCGTCTGATTTACGTTCATTAAAAAAAATGGAATAGAAACGTTGAGAATGAATCGAGGATGAGTTGAAAATTCTGGAAGCTTGGATGTAACGATTCTGGAAATTTCTCGGGAATGGAGAGGTGTGCGATGATTTGTCAGATCTTTTTTGTATTGCTTGAAATTCATCAGAGGAAAGTTTTGAAAAATGTTCATTAAGGATATGTAAGTATCTTTTACAGTATTTGCCATTTAAATTGCGTGAGAAAAAATTAAAAGAAATCATGAATATTCAGCGTCATTCGAATTAAATTTTGCACAGAATTATGATTTTTTTCAACATTCGTTGTTTGTAAATGAAAAATTGAAATTGTTTAAACTTTCGGAAAATTTATTTTTTAAGCATGAAATCAACTTCTGGTAAAATTCTAAATATGAATAAATTTGTTACGATCCCGAATAAATGATTTTTATGGTGGAAAATTTATTGTTTACAAAGTACTTGAAGAAAATGCTCATAATTTTCATAAATTGCAATGTTTTAATTACACTATAGATTCAACCATTTTCAATTATCAAATTTGCCATTCAAATTACGAGAAACAAAAAGAAACAAATCATGAATATTCAGTGTCATTAAAATTACATTTCGCACAGCATTTTTTCAACTATTCGTTATCTATAAATAAATAATTGAAATTGTTTAACTTTTCGAAAGACTTATTTTTTTAGGCATAACATCGATTTCTGGTAAAATTCCCAGGATGAATAAATTTGTTGCAATTCCAAACAATTGGTTTTTATAGTGAAAAATTGATTATTTATAAATTATTTATTAAATTCGGAATTTTCAGAAATTGCAATTTTTGAATTACACTATAGATTCTACCATTTTCAATCATAAAATTTGTCAATTAAATTACGCGAGAAAAATTTGAAAAAAATCATGAATATTCAGCGGCATTCAAATTCCATTTTGCAGAGAATTATTATTTTTTCAAACAATCGTTGTTTAAAATAAATGATCGGAATTGTTTAAACTTTTGGAAAACTTACTGTTTAGACATGAAATAGATTTCTGCGAAAATTTTGAATATGAATAAATTTGTTATGATTCCGAACAAATGATTTTTACGGTGGAAAATTGATTATTTATAGATTATTTATAGAAAATGCTTGGAATTTTCAAAATTTTCAGTTTTTTAATTATTTCATCAGTAATCCACTTCTCCAAAGTAAACCTTCTAATTCTTTCTCAATTTTTCAAAATGTTTTTTAATGGTTCAGTATCGAGATTCAAATGCAGACTTACACAGTTTAAGTAATAAAATGGTTGTAAAATGACCGAAAACTTGGGGTCAAATGAGAGCTCTGATGTTCGACTACAAAACTAGAAAAGCTTTTCACCGGCGAAAAAATGGCCCAAGGACTTAGATACCGTTAATAGCCCGGTGGCTTGGCGCAGTGGGTAAGTTCGTTGCCTCACATGCGAAAGGTTCCGAGTTCAAGTCCCGGCCGGGTAGAATGGTGCGATTTAACCATTAGTCTTGATCATCATTGCAGTATACCCTAACCGGGTCGAAGCGATGTAAAATAGCGATAAAAAAAGATACCCTTAATATCTTTAATTTCACGGTATTCGCATAATAACCAAAGAATTTCTTAAGTTTGCCAAGGATGAAAAACTTGAAATAATTATTTTTTAAATAGTTTTGGATCAAAGCGGTTCATAGAAATTGCTTCAGAGACGTTTTAGGGGGGAATTTCAAGGACTACAAGAAAAGTTTCCTTGATAAATTTCCATCAGTGTCGTTATTTCCAAGAGATTCATAATTCAATCGACATCAGTAATGCAATTCAATTATTTGCTAATATCTTCCGAGTGAAGACATTCAAAAAAATTTGTCAGTACCTTTCTTTCATAAAGGAAATCAGCGGTAACAAAAAGGTCTTGTGATCAATCCCCGTAAACCTCTCCATTCTTAAGATGTTCGCAAAATAATTTTACAGGTGCAATTCCCAATTTTCCGCTTTTATTACTTTGTAAATATCTTCAGAGTGGGATGATTTACAAAAATTTATTCGGCGACCTTCTTCTTTTATCTAATGTAATCCTCTTTTCCACAAAATTCATTTTTTTCCCATGAAACACTGACACGAGGGACTGGTGGAAATTAGGAAATCACTGGATCACTCGATTAGAAATCAAGGAAGAAATCACCAGAAATCATTGCAAATCAAGCGAGTTCCATTTTCAATATTAATTTCTTATAAAAAACTTATAAAAATCCTCGGGAATCAGTAGAAATCACGAAGAAATCAGGAGATTTCATAAATAATTATAAATCATCGATGAAAGTTAAATCCAGATTTTGTATTTGAGCTTCTAGTTGATTCTGATGATGTTTTGAAATCTGGAAATCAAGAAATCATCAAAATCTACTAGAAATCACAGGAATCATTCAAAAAATCACAAGAAAGCATCCCATTCTGGAAATCACTGATCCATCCGATGGAGGAGTGGCCAGCGCCTCGCACTGACATTTTCCCGACTAAAACACAATAGATCCATTCAAATTTCCCGACAATAACCACGAAGGCAAAAAAAATTCACCAATTATCGTTTTCGTCACCGATATATCAAGTAATTCTCATGCAAAGAATAAACCGATAAAGTGTTTTGTCACCAGAGGAACTTTCACTCCCCCCATTATCAATGTGTGTGTATTATTTACACTATGTATGTAATGTTATGTCGATACTCGCGAGATTGTAAATATCACCCATGTAATCTCGCGAGCTTTGCGTCAAACTTGTTAGGTCTGTGCACTAATGCACGCAATCTCCTTGTTTGATTCATTGAGAAAAGAATTCTTGGCCTATTTCTGCTATTTCGAAGGCCACCGAGACATTTGTTCAGTTTCCAATAATTGCCGAGTGAGAGAAAGAGAGAGACAATGAACAAAAAAAATTAGCGTCACGAATTGAAGATAAAAATTACTCAATTGATTGGCCAATAAATTATGAAATCATTTGTGCGGACCAATCTCCAGTTCAATCAGTACATCCAATGAATGACTGGAGCCTATAATTCACGAATAAAACAGCAGGATAACATCTTGACACTCACCTTGATTGAAATCCTCCGTTAATGTCCACGTAACAGGTAATTATCCACTCTGGTCAATCAACCAAAACAACTCGTTAAAAAAAAACGATGAAATCCAAATCCCTCAAGACTCTCTCGAGGAGTCCCACAACATTTTCACGTTACGTAGAATATCCATTGACACTAATTTCTCTCTTTACTTCCGAGATCGCGAGATAATGCCAACACGTGAGGTACATTGGAAATGTATTTAGCCGTTTAATTTATCCCATCTATTTATCCTTGGCCAACAAATTGAATTAATTACCCCAACTATCACTTAATCGAGATCACACAAGTGAATTTAACCACTTCCTCCAAATTTATCCTTTCCCCAGCAGTGGAGAAAAAAAAATCATTGAAAACAAAATCAACACTTTTTTTGACACTTTCACCCTCACTTCCGGTTCTCTGTTGTCCCTTCCGGGACGATTCACACTGGCAAGTTTAAATAACACTGATGAACGAGCACATCCATAACCGTGGAAATAATCCTCAAGAGATGATGGAGTTAAAAAAAAACTGTTGATATTTTCCTTCTATTTGATTTCCTCGGGCTCTTCTCACACCAACTGACAACGCTGGTGTGACGGTATTGGTGTTCCCTCCTTCTTCTCTCTCCGGTCCTGGCTTCCCCAGGGTCAGCCGGCTGTGTTGGCTCTAGCACTTTTACCCGTTGGGTACTCTCAAGGACTCAACACTCCAAGTCTCTCCTATTCCTTTCTCTTATCCTTTCGCGTGGACTTTTTTATTTAATATAAAAAGAAAAATCCCAACACGTTTGCTTTTTTGCCTCATTCACTCGCTAACCTTTTTCACCAGCTTTTAATCTCCCACAACAGCCCGTTTATCCCCTCGAACTCGAGAATTTCCGATGATGGCTTAATTTTTTTTTATTTCTTCACATGTAAAAAAAAAATTTCACCGTCTCCTCAAGTCACACATCAACGCTGCCGCAACTTCACTTTCCCCACATTGGCTTCCCCACGACCAATTCTTTCTCTTTTCCTTCCACACACACAACTCTCCCGTTCTCTTTTTACCTCACTCTCCTTCTCTTTCAATCTCGTAGTTTCTCACTTCTTGCCACTGTCGATTTTGTAATCCCTTTTACGAAACTCTCCTCTCTGTCTCAGTTACACTCGAAGTAAAAGTCAGTCTTGGTATAATACCAATGACAAAAAACCCCACGTTTTATTGACAAACGTTGAACAGCCACTATTCAGATCGAGGAGGACCCAGCAGGACTTCCGGTACTCAAACTTCAATTCACTTCCGTCGATGATATCACTATTACCTCTTCAGTACACGTGAATACACGTGACACTGTTCCACCACTGGGCTCACTGCCGTATCCATACTGCCCATTTTACCTCCAATTGACAACGAGTTAATAGTTATCAGAATAAAATCATGAATCCCCTTGCAATTTCTCCCACTTCAGTTTCCCGGAATAGATTGATTCCTGGAGGCATTCATCGAAGCCCCACAAAGTGCACAACAACCTCTTGGTCTCCACTGCACTGAACCACTATTGTAGCTTATCAAACAGTTCTCTATTTTCCTCTCTTATTTTTCCCCCCCACCGCTGGCCAAGAGCCTGCCTCGTTTTTTTTTATTCTCCTTTTTGTTTTGTTAAAGCGTCCTCGTCCTCGACACGTCGCGCAATGCTATCTTTCTTTCTCGCGTTGTGCGTTGGCTCTCGAGTTACGTTCCGGTTACGCAATGCGGATCATCAACGAGCATTCCACCTCCTCTTATTTTTCAAACGTCAAATGCTTTCTTTCTATTTTATCCACTCTCAAGGACACCGAGACTTTGACACATCACCTCTCCCGCGGATGAATGACGCTGATTAAAATTACTTCCCCCCCCCCTGTTGACGATTTTCGCAGGTTTTTCCTCTGTTTATTCGGTGATTTTCTCCTCGGTATTGTCGCTGTTGCAGTTGAATTGAATTTTAACGCGCTCACGCGGCCCGCCGTTGTGTTCTCTCTCTCAGCCGTAAGTCAGTGGTTTCAACTTTTACTTTCAGCTCTTACACAACAGTAAAACAAGCGCGCAGGCCAAGAAGGAGAGCTAACTGAAGTTAACACCGCGCCACGGTTACCGTGGCACTTCTCTTCCCCCGAAGCGAATGAGCACAAGAGACTAACTGAACCAACACTTGGTACCCTGCCACCATTTGTAACCACCTCAGGTATGAAAATTGTTTAAATCTCCAGGTGACTGCCAACACTTTGACACTAACCGAGGGAGGAATTATGAATCACACACACCCCACCCCCTTTTTCCTCAACAAGTATTATCCGATTAGTACTTAATTTCATTGGGTGAATTCTTCCCGGAATTAGGTGGTTTAGAATATCACTCAATTGTCACTCGTTAATTCTCCATTCAGGGGATTAGACGAAATTTTTTTCGGGGATTAAGGGCGCCTTCACTTTCGCTTTCTAATTCATCGGCGTTTGTTTCTGCTTTCTAGCAATTGCGCATGCGTCGTCGCCACCGCGCAAGCGCACTGCGTGAAGATAACCCGGCAATTATTTGAAACACTGGGACAAGATTTAATCCAATTGGTGTCACACCGATGCCGATGAATTTGTTCAGTCACACTGGTGTTGAAAGGGAACAAATTGACACTTGATTGTTGGTGGATTGTGAATTTTTAAACTCAAGATTAATGTTCACGTTTGTCCACGGAGCCGTTCGACGAGTGATGAATTGACCGATTACAATGGACGACTGTCGATAAATAAATTTAAATAGTTGACGAATAAGATTGTGTCCGGTATTGGGTCTCTTCCGGTCTCCGTGGTGTGTCTCTCACTGAGCCAAAGCACGTTCGGTTAGAGTTTTGCGCAAACGGGCCGGGTGAGGACCTCCACTCGCCTCACTCACAACACACTATCCCTCTCGCTTAGTTTTGTCTCTTAGGGTACCCCAGGCAATACAACTACATGCATGGATATTCAAACGTTAGATGTATTTGTGTGCTGGATCTACAACAGTTGAAGTGCGAGTGAGGCAGATTTAAAGTGTTAAAGGGAGATGGGGTATAGTTGTAGTTGGTGAGTTGAGGCAGTGGGAAAAGAGGTGGAGGTGGCAAAAGAGTAAGCACTAACCTATCGGGCGGCTTGTATTTGTGAGGAAACGATCTCAACTGTGCAATTGTGAAAAACTGATACAAGTGTGGGTTAATCCCTCGGGGATTTTCAGTTGTAACTGCGAGTGAGAGAGACAGCGGAAGACGATGAAAGGGGGAGGGAGAGGATAGACGAGGGTCAAGGGATTCCCTTTTCCCCGCCTCCTGCCCCCCCCCCCCC